GTGCCCCGGTATCGTATCACCATCACTTTTATCTTCGTTTTCCTTAGTTCGATCTTATTAGTAGTATTTTGATCTAGTAGAATAAAGTTTATGGCATGATCTAGTTGTGAGTTTTGCTTTATTATCTTTCTATGTAATCGAGTCCGTGAGCTATATTATAAAGATTAGTGTTGAGTCAAGGGCTTGATTATTTTGCCATGATCCTAAGTGAATAAAAGAAAAGAGAAAGAAATAAAAAGAAACAAAGAGATCATATGGATCTCATGGAGAGTAATGAGCTCACATAGAAAAAGTATGATGAATAAAAGTTGTTGAGAGTTGACAAGCATAGTTTTGGTCATCGTTGCAATTAACAGGAAGTAATAAAGAAAGAGAGGTCTTCACAAATAGATATACTATCTTGGACATCTTTTATGATTGTGAGCACTCATTAAAATATGACATGCTAAAGAGTTGACATTGGACAAGGAAGACAATGTAATGGGTTATGTTTTCTTACATCTGAGATAAATTATATTGTCTTGGATCCTCCAACATGTTGAGCTTGCCTTTCCCACTCATGCAGCCAAATTCATTGCACCAAGTAGAGATACTACTTGTGCTTCCAAATACCCTTAAACCAGTTTTGCCATGAGAGTCCATCATATCTACCTATGGATTGAATAAGATCCTTCAAGTATCTATCTAAAGAAAGATTTTTTTTCTTTCAGAAAGAAGATAAGAATAAGAGGCTCACCATAGTGGTGCCGGCGACGAGATCGGCGCGTGCGATCGACGGCGGTGAAGACGGGGACGAGGCGTGACAGACCGCTAAACCTAGACAAATCTCGGGAAAAATGGAGCTCGGAGGTCGAGCTTCGAGAAGAGAAAACTTAACTAGCGTGGCTCGGTCATTTCATTGAACACCTCACGTGCATAGGAGATGAGCTAGAGCACCCAAATGCCCTCCCCTTGCCGGCCAAAAAAATAGAGCAGTGTGGACTGCTCTGCTCGTCGGCGAGGGGGTATATATAGGCAACTCATTTGTCCCGGTTCGTGGCTGGAACCGGGGCTAATGCCCAGCCTTCTGTCCCGGTTCAAGCCAAGAACCGAGACCAATAGTTGTGGGCCAGAAGCGAGGCCCATTGGTCCCGGTTCGTGCCTAGAACCGGGACAAATGGGTCCATACAAACCGGGACAAATGCCTACCGAGGCCCTGCCGGGCCATGGGTCCCGGTTCTTGACTGAACCGGGACTAATGGGCTTGGCAGGCTCGAACCAAAACCCTGTTTTCTACTAGTGCGACTGCGCTAATGGGCCGGCCCAATTCATGAAATATAGTCTAAGTTCTCTCAAGGTTCAAAATAGTTCGGGATTAAAGAGTTTGGTATGCTGATTTTAGGGATTGGGAGTTCGGAGTTTGATTTAGCTTTCGTCTACAATTTCAAGGTTTGTTTTGGACTTTTTCCTCACTTTAATTAGAGAGTGAAAATGTTATTTTCACCCTATTGCTTCTAAGAAAAAGTCAGCATGCTTGCTATGCTTCACTTTGGAGGTGGCCTAAACGACTTCGCGAGAGATAAATCTCGCTTCTAGTGAGATTTTTTTTGAGAGAAACTCGCCATTTATTCAACCAAAGCAAAGGTCATAGGTACAAGGTTTTGGTCATGAGGATTGCCCAACCAAATATGTCGACCTACACCTAAATTACAAGCGAACTTGGCAAGTTTGTGAGCCTCAAAGTTAAAGTTTCTACATTCATGAATGAAAGCACTAGAAGTAAAACTATTAAAACGAGTCGATATTTCATGTACTATGGCAGCATTAGGACCCACTGTCTCTTTGTTGATGTCGTTCACCGCTTCTTGACAGTCTGAGGCCACCAAAATATTTTGCACGGCAAGATCCTTCGCAAGAGCTAGAGCTTCTCGACAAGCATACGGTTTCAGAATCAGTGGATCATTAATTCCTTGGAAGACCACAGCCGAAGAACCCAAATAAAGTCCTGGTTGGTCTCTACACAGGGCCGCCACAGCTCCTCCACGACGTGATCTAGCGACTGCTCCATCAACATTTATTTTCACACAACCTGCGAGTGGTGGTAACCATCATTCTGGAGGGATTGTTGAAGCAACTCTTGCTTCATGGCGCACTCGACTGTTAGAAATCTGTCCCAACTCTGCGATGAAATTCTCCACAAAGTAGATAGTTTGTTGGGTACTTTGGAAGATAGATTCATAAACTGCATTTCTTCTCACGTACCAAACCAACCAAAGTGTGACAGCCATCCGAGTAAAACTGTCATGATCCATCTCATCACTAAGCTGAAATAGCCATAACCTTGCATTGGGCTCCTCATTAGCTGTCATATGGGAGACAAGATCGTCATCAGACAACGCTCAAATACACCTGGACATGGTGCATGATACGTCGCTTATAGTGAGATGGAAGCAGATCTCGTGTCAGGCACAGTGCGAGTGGGCCGACCCGCAAGGGAAACAATCTGCACATGCTGACAACTTTGGCCCACATGTCGATGCAGGAAAGAGCTTCACTTTTATTAGGGAGAAAAAAGTTATCTTCATCCTATTGCTTCTAAAAAAAAGTCAGCCCGCCTGCTATACTTTACTTTGGAGGTGGCCTAAACGACCTCGCGAGAGATATATATCGCTAAATCACTAATTAAGAAATACTCGTTGCGAAAAACACTCCACTTTCTAAGGTCGCGACAAGTGGCGCACCATTTGTCGCAACCCGGGAGTTTTTCCTTTTTTCGTAGATCCGTTTATTCAAAATGTTTTATCTCTTAAACCGTGCATCCAAATCTCGAACAATTTTCACCATTGGATTCCTCACGTCAAGATCTTCAAAACTAGATCCCATGTTGATAGGTTTTGACGAACTTTTTTTTTTAAAAAAAAACTGGACGAACAAAACCGGGCGAAGAAACCAAACCAGGAGCACGGTTTTTTCCCTTTTCGAAAAAAGCACGCCCGTGCCTCTCGCGAAATCACAACCGTACCTCTCGTGGAAGCAAAACCGTAACTCTCGTGGAAGGAAAAAAAATAGAAAACACGTTTTTTTTCGTTTTCGAGAGGCATGGCCGTGACTCTCGCGAAAGCACAGCCGTGCCTTTTGCGAAAGCAAAACCGTGACTCTCGCGAAAGAAAAAAAAACAGAAAACGTGTATTTTTTTTCCTTTCCGAGAGGCACGGCCGTGACTCTCGCGAAAACACAACCGTGCCTCTCGCGGAAGCAAAACCGTGACTCTTGCGAAAGAAAAAAAATAGAGAACGTGTTTTGTTTTTCTCTTTCCGAGAGGCACGGCCGTGACTCTCGCGAAGACACAACAGTGCCTCTCGCGGAAGCAAAACCGTAACTCTCGCGAAAGAAAAAAAAATAGAAAACGCATTTTGTTTTTCCCTTTCCGAGAGGCACTGCCGTGACTCTCGCGAAAGCACAACCATGCCTCTCGCGGAAGCAAAACCGTGACTCTCACGAAAAAAAATAGAAAACGTCTTTTTTCCCGTTTCCGAAAGGCATAGCCGTGACTCTCGCGAAAGCACAATCGTGCCTCTCGCGGAAGAAAAACCGTGACTTTCGCGAAAAAAAATAAAACACATTTTTTTCACGCAAAAGAATATTTTGTTTTGAATTTTTTTAATCGAAAAGCTAAGGAAGGTCGGGGAAAAACCAAAATGTTGAAAAAACCCAGAAAAAAATCGTTTGATAAGCCGAAAACACGTGCGAAAAAATAAAAATAAAAACAAAATCCGGATGGAACGTCCAGAACATAACATGTGGCGAATGATTGGGAGCGTGTCAAGTGGCGCTGATCGTTGCGAGGTTCCCGAAAAAGCGCTCGTTAACTAGTTGCTTCCTACATATCGCTTATAGTGAGATGGAAGCAGCTTTCGCGTGAGGTGCAACGTGAGCAGGCTGGCCCATTAGCATATGGTTCCTCGCTGTAGGTTCGCTCACTGTAGGTCCAGTTTCCTTCTATTCTTTTCTCTATTTTTACGGTTTCTTTGGATTTTTTTCACAGGTTTTCTTCAGTTTTCCATTTTTTCTTTGTTATAAATTTTATTTTCTTTGTTTTCACTGGTTTTTATTTTCCTTCTTTTATGTTTGGTTTTCTTTATTTTTCTAGGTTTTCACAGATTTGTTTTTTGGATTCTTTGTTTATTTTTTGGTTTTCATTGATTTTCTCCATTTCTTTTTCTACCATTTTTTTAAATTAAGGTAACATTTGTTTTACATTGTGTTAACATTTTTCAAATTCACTATTTTACTTTTTTGATTGATTTTATGTTTTGAAATATGTGTATTTAGAATATTTTCGAAAATAAGAATAAAATATCGAACGAAGCAAAAAAGGTGAAAAGACGAACTTAGCTGAAACCTACCTAGGCCGGCCCATTTTGTGACGCCTGATGTGAGTGCTCGCTCCAACCCGCGCTAAGCGAGGTATAGGTACGCCGGAACGACTTCAGATGTCTTTAGTCGTAGTCTTAAGGCCTGAACTGTTGTTCTAACGCTGGAAGGCTTTCTGCTTATGATTGTTCAAGTTTACATGAGTGTGAGTTGTCTCAAAAAAAAGTACATGAGTGTCGATCTCTTGAGAGAGTGGCGGAGATAGTATCGAATTACGCCTGGGGCTAAGCTTGTTGGAGTGATGCAGTATAGTTATTTCGTATATTTTGTAGGAAGGAATTACAAAGTCCATTGTTACTATGCCTAGGGCTATAGCCCAACTACTCTTGGTCTGTCTCCGCCACTCTTGAGAGTTTACATTTTGAAAACAGATTTCTTTTCATCAATGCATCCTTTGTGTTTTGCCAGGAAAGGACTCCGTCGGTTTCCAGTACTGAGTGTTTGTTCATGTATGATCGCAACTTGTCACACAGGCAGATAGGCTGGACATTTGGTTAATAGTGCAAACACATGACCTCTTTTAGAGTTGCACTATGTAGTACACGACAGCTATACGTAGAGAAGTTGCAGGAATGTGCTCCGCGAGATCAGAACAAGAGCAGGCACAGCACTACGAACACAAAGAGGAAGAACAATAACTGATGCAAAGACCTCTCCACCTCCATGTGCTGCCGCCTCAGCCTAGGGCTCAGGTTTTGCAGCTCGCCCAGGGGGTAGCTCGGCGCCGGCGCCTCGCCACCGAACACCCAGGGGAGCAACGCCAGGGCCATCCCGCCGAGCACCCCACCGGACGTCGAGTTCATCGCATTCATGCCGTACCCCAAGGGCGGAGGAGGGTATACGATGTTGAACTGCGCGGCTCCGACACGCGCGTGACGGGATGAACGAGTCGGCGAACCGGGTTCCATGATCACGCGCCGGCGACCACTGCCACCGCTGGTTTGCGCGCTCTGTTGCTCGACGGCTCCCCGGTGCACGGTCGGCCGGCGCGGAAGGGCCGGGTGGAGCCGTGGCTTACTGGGCCGGCTGCCGCCACGGCCGTAGAGCGGCACGAGCGAGTCCAGCGTGAGCGCGGCCTTGCACACGGGGCACGGCCGCCCTGCCGCCGAGATGGTGCCGCCGGCGGCGTCGCGGCGCAGCCACTCGTAGATGCAAGGCCAGCAGTAGAGATGGCCGCAGAGGGTGACCACCGGCTCCACCGCGAAGTCCAGGCAGATGTTGCAGTCGAAGCAGCCGGCGCGTGCCGCCGCCGCCGGCGCGTCCCCGCTCACTCTCTTGGACGGATCATTATCACGCTCCTGGCTAACCTGATTCATCCTGCTCTTGCACCTTCAGACGGTTCACGGCGCTGCAAAAGGAACCAAAAGGTCGGTTGGATTACACAAACGAGAGAGACGCGCAGCGAGAAGATGGCCACTGAACAAAAAGCTCACCAATCAATAATTCAAGGTAGACATCTTGATCGATCAAACCGTAGTGAGATTATCATCGATCCGACTGGAGCAGGACAACGAACTAACGAGAGGGACGGAGCAAGCCACGCAAAATTGCAGATCTGTGGCGCGCGGTGCCGTCCGGGTTCATGTGTGGATGCCGTCGTGACAAGGTGGGCAGTGTCACCAAGATCGGAAAGGGACACATGCTACAACTGTAAGAAAGGGAACCATGGGGTTGCTTGGCCCATAGAATTCCCAGGATATTGTTGTGTCGTAATCAGTCTAGCCAAACCCTAAGCGGGTCCCGTGCTAAACAAGGTACTACTACTACTACTTTCAGACAAGGAGTAGAAAACGTTACGTAATGCACTATGTGACTGACCTTGGCAGCATGCCTCTTGTGTCATTATTTATACTACTAGTACTACTACATAAGCCTTTTCACTAATTATTTCTGGCATTTCCCTAACCTGCTTCTCAAGCGAATTAACGTGCGTCCTAGCTCCTAGACAATGGCTTTGGATAAGGTCGCCAGATCACTGAAACACCGACCTGATGTTATCCTTGTTTTCTTTAAGACACGACAAGTCCAAGGAGACAGAATTGACCACACAGCGAATGGCAGGAAGGAGAATGCGATCCTATCATAATGATATTGCTAACATGGCAATAAAAAATGTCAGTGCTTTAACATATTTCAGAGACTGAGTTGCGCATCACTTCTTTTTTACTGGGTAACAATCATAAAGAAGCGATACAGTACAGCTTTGGCGGCATATACTCAACGGGACTGAACACAACAAAGCGCTCGGCTGCAAGCATATCCAGTGATCTTTGAGAAGACAAGAACAATATAATCCGGCCAACAACTTTTGACTTAGTAGACCTCCAGGCACGTCCTTCTTATGCAGTTGTTGGACTAAACATCTGTGGCTATTAAGAACGCTGTTGGCATCATCAGGTACAGAGATGATGAACAGTGTGCAATATGATGATCTAACAGTAGTCATAGATTTTCTTAATGGCTAATGGCACCCAAATTATCAAACCATATGCAGTTGAGAATATCGTTGAAATGATGTTCATCTGAGCATTCATTTGCTCTTGGAGACCAGAAATTCCCGCATCAATTGGAAGAGCGACCAGCACAATCTTGTTGTTGAAGATAGTGACAGTGCGGATTGATCTAGCAAAAATTAAAACCGGGTAGAGCTATGAAAGAAACAAGCCTAGCCGCCTGGACTGAACCCAGAGACCCAGAGCCAAGAACAGAGAAACTACTTATCAAAGCTTGATCAATCCATGGACAAGGACCGACCCGCGATAGCAGCACGCGCACGGCCGGCCTTCCGCCTCCGGGCCTCTCTCGGCGGGGCTCCGCGCGAAGGAGTCTTGAGGGACGGGAACCGGAGCGGTAGCGTATGTATGTATGTATAGGCGGGGAGCGGGAGATGACTCGTGGAGGCGACGAACGCGCCGTCGACGTCAGTCGCAGCTGTGGGAGATACCAAGAAAACGAAGAAAAATGAGTCGCCGGTGCGTGGAACGGCAGGCCTAACCGAAGCGGGAAGTCGCCGGCTTCCTGTGCTGGGAGGTGGCGACGGTACCCGTCATTGTCAAGGGGAGCAGGAGCAGAGGGCGGTTGCTCTGCTTTGTTTCTCCCCGGTGGCGGTGGGTGCTGTGCTCTGAATCTGATCCTGCCCAGCAGGCGAGAATTTTGTCCGCTCGGTTCCTTCTCTCTTGTTAGATCCTGCGATATACACGGAAAAGTTGGCCAGAAAACGTCAGGCCGTTGCTGGCACCAGCACGTCATGAGCGCTCTCACTCTCGCTACTGCTCAAGCATGGAAAAAAAAGGAACAAAAAACAAAAGAGAGAGAAAAGCAAGCGGAAACAGCAAAGCAGGCTGCCCCTGTAGTTGCAGTGGATAAACGACGAGACCCCGGAGTCCGCCGCAAGATCGGGATCCTCCCATCAGTCTCGACGTGGCTGTGGTGCCTTTGTTTCCTCTTTCGTGCAATGCCGAGAGATGATTTGTGCGCTTGCTTGCGGAGCTGCTCGTCCTCGCCGTTCGCTCCACGCGCGCAACCGTCGGCGTTGCCGGTGGGCGCAACGGAATCAGCGAGTGCGCTGAGCTCCTCACGATGCCCGTGGGTCGCCGCATTTTCAGTTGCGCCTCATCCTTGTACGCTTGCAACTCGTGGTGCTACTGCTAACTGCCTAGCTAGTGTGCATTCCACGACTCAAAAGAAAACAAAAAACTAGCGTGCATTCCAGAACGCCGGTCCCGCATACGACGACCGGCGGCGAGAGCCTTTCCCGGCTACGGTTGTGGCTTTTCTGCAGCAATCATCTTAATCACCTCATGATTGCTGTCACCAACTATTGATTTTATTAGGCAGAAACTTTTGTCATCACGCTCTCGATCACAGGACTCACGAGGATCAGATTATCTGGAATCGCAGCGCCCAAGCAAAGGGAGGAAAATGTAGCGGGAGCTATATCTCGCTCAACCTGAGATGGAAGAAATCTCGCCTTGTGGATTTCCTGCGGTCGCTGCGCTCGTACAGTATTAGGCCAGCACATAGTCTTTTTTTTTTTTTTGAGGATCAGGCGAGCCCATAGTCGTGCATACCTCGCCTGCTCGCTGCTGGTTGGGCCATTGCTTCAGTTTCCTCTGTTTTTTTTCTCCTTCTTTTCTTTACGTTTTCTCTTCTGTTATTTTTTTTTGTTTCTACACCGGTTTTTCTGGTTTTCTATTATTTTGGTTTTCCATGGTTTTTTCGTTTCTTTCACTGTTTTTATTGGTTTCCTTTTTTCCCCTTCTTTTTCTTCGGGTATTTTTCTTTCTCTGTTTCAATCATTTCTCCTTTTGTTTCCTCTTCGTAAACAAATATAAAAGTGTTTACATCACTAAAGGAGTGATCTAAAATCTCTTATATTTTTTACAGAGGGATTATTTTTTCTTCCTTTCTTAGTTTTATCGGCTTTGTTTTTTTCTTTGTTTCTTTCTCGGTATTCACAGTTTTCATTCTGTTGCACTGGTTTTAATTAGTTTTCTGTGTTTTGTTCTTTCTTTTTCAATTTTCATTGGTTTTTTCTCTCTCTTTCCATATAGGGTAGGAATAAATTTTTATAAACGTTCAGCATTTTTTTGAATTATACAAAACTTTTTTGGTATACATCTGAAAGATTTTTGTTGTGCAATTTCAACATTTTTCAAATACAACATTAATATTTTGTTTACATATACTCCCTCCGTTCCTAAATATAAGTTTTTCTAAAGATTTCAATAAATGACTACATACAGAGCAAAATGAATGAATCTACACTTTAAAATTTGTCTACATACATGCATATGTTATAGTCCATTTGAAATGTCTAAAAAGACTTATATTTAGGAACAAAGGAAGTATTTTGATGTCAACCTTTTACATACACGTTCAACATTTTTTGTATATTTTTTGATAGACACACCAATTATCAAAATTCGAAGAGGGCAAACAAATCTAGCGACACAAACTCTCGCATGCTCTTCCCGATGCCAGACACATTGAGATGAGAAGATGCCAAAGAAAACTTATTCAACAAAAACTAATAAGAAAAATCTATATCTATATCCAGTATATCTATATTTATACCAATATAAAAACACTCAAAGGGGCAGATTCAAACTATCTTGACCGTTAAATCATTTTATTTAGCGGTTCAAATCGCTCCAACTAGGGGGGGAAACGGATCGGATGCGGATCGGATAGTGCTCTTGCCACTTCCATTTTCATATTTTCAAAACGAATACGAATCCGAATACGGATGTTATCGGATACGGATGCGGCTCGGATATTATTCGAATACGGATACGTATCGGATATTTTCTTGATTCGGAACGGATACAAATAATATTAACATATTGCTTAAGTAAATTAGTCGATAGCTATGTGACCTGAAATAATCAACTTGTGACATACAATAAGTCAATGATAAATAGGTTTATGAATAAATACTATTGTAATGCATAATAATTTATAAGTTTAATCATATAAAAAGTAAAATTTACCACTTATTTGGCTTTTATGTTGGATAATTGGAATATTGGGTCTAGAATTTTGAAAATTACCTCCCATAATCTTATTCGGATACGGATATATCCACTTCCATATCCATTTTGTCTCAAAATCTCGTACCATATTTTATTTTTTATTTGTTTAATAAATTCGGATACGGATAATTTCCATTTCTATTTTGGTTCGGATGCGGATGTTTCGGATACGAATAGGCATTTTCTCGAATACGAATATCGGATATTTCGGATTATCCGCTACCAATTTCCACCCCTAGCTCCAACGTTGAGCATCAAACATGTTTAACGTTCTAATTATCCATCACTGTCATTGGTTATAAACATATTTTGACTCGACGCTATCCCACAAAATCTGCCATGTAATTAATATCCTACCATTCCCGCGTAAAAAGTAATTGATATCTTACCAAATACTCGTACGTGCAACAAATATATCTTACCTAATATGATGTACAACTAATATCCTACCTAATACAAACGTGCATTGCACGTACATTATTACTAGTAAAAATAAAAAGATCCGTTATTTTTTGTGCTCGTACATACGCGCATACACTCATCCTTATGAACGCATACACGCACATTTTACTCCTATGAGCATCTTCGAGAGACTGAGTCGACATATCATTTTCAGATTTACAAAGTCATCGTAAGCGCTTCGTCATCGATGGAAACATCTTCTTTCACTAAAGCGCATGCAGAAATAATGTGAACGCCAGGAATTAAACTCTGGTGAGCTGTAATATCACAGTCCCTCTAACCATTCACCTGTATGTTGGTTCACCGTTTTTTTTTTTTTTAAAGTAGAACCTTTGGTCTATATTTAGACTCCGAACCGAAACTGGCGGGCGAGAACCGAGGAGTCCCCAAGCCACGCCACTCCACGCCAATTTCCATGTGAGAGCCGAGGACCCAAGCGAGAGCGGAGGACCGACATCCGGATCTGCATCCTGCCGCTCAACTCGACCGCTGGAGGAAGAGAATCGATGGTGCACGGAACGCTGGAGGTGCTGCTCGTCGGCGCCAAGGGCCTCGAGAACACCGATTTCCTGTGTACGTACGCACCAACCAATCCTTTGGCTTTGTGAACCCTAATAATCTTGTAAGATAGCGATTGCTTCTAGGGTGCGGACCATTCTGTTTTCCTTCGATCGGGACGTTGCCGTTCGTGCTATTAATCGCCTCACTAGAATTTTGATCGATCGGGTCGACTGATTTATTCGTATTAAATCGCCGTTTCGGCCCCCCTGCGCCATCGTAGGAAATGTTTGATGCATTTATTGGTTGTTTATCCCATCATTTTCGCAAGGACTCTGATGATGATAAGTTGCTTCTTGTTGACAAATTGAGCGCAGGCAATATGGACCCGTACGCACTTCTCAAATGCCGCTCGCAGGAGCAGAGGAGCAGTATCGCGTCAGGTGGGTATGCTCTTCCCATTTGTTCCTTTTCCTTACGATTGATTCTGTCATTCATCTTTTCATGTGCTGCTAATATAGGTTTCAAATTTGATGATTATTTTTGCATTGCTAAACAAACAGCTCTAACTTGTAGCTCCAACAATCTAGTGAGATGGTTTGCTAGACTTTTAAATAAAATGACCACATGCATCGTTCTGATGCAGAGGCCGGGGATCTTTCCTCCTTTAAAAAATAATAATCTAGTGAGACTGAGGTGTTTGTTTCTGAGTTTTTTCAACATGACCCGTTTACAACGTCTTCTCAATCCTCTGCATGTGTTTTGGTAAACCTAGGCCGTAATCAGATGCCTCGTTAACAGATCCCACTGCTATTCACGGATGATTCCTATCATCCTTATTGAATTGCATTACTGAACTCAGCCTCCTCGCCCTCCAGGCATGGTAATGAATATATATATTGAGAGGCTAATTGGTTCCATGCCAAAAGTTGGCATGCCAAATTTTGACAACTGTCAAGTGTTGGCTAGAGATTGGTTGCATACCAATTGTTGTCAATCTCATAAAAGGTTGCCAAATGTTGGCAACTTTTGATTTTGCCAAATGTTGGTTTGCCAAATATCGGCAATGCCAAAGGTTGGTAGCAAACCAATCAGCCTCTGTGTTCTAACATTACTACCCTTCATGCATGGTAATGATGAATCGGGCGGTCTCATAAGGAGATAAATAAATGAATAATTTATGAAAAGTTAACTTTTGTGACTCTCGAAACAGGCTTTCGCCCCGCTTTATATATAAAGCAACCACCAAACAAAGTACACGGCCGAACGTTATAGGGTGGAGAGGTAGCCCTCTTACAAAGCAAATCCTTGGATAATCGGATCACGCAAAATGCACGCGACTATGCTACCGAAGGAGAACACAGTGAAGATAGGATAAAACGCCGCGCTACACCCTAGCACACCTAAGCTTTACAACAACGCCCTCGGGAGGGAAGATGGTGCGGAGCGTCGCCGCTACTGAGTCCGAAGAGGACATGAGTTTTCATCCAGAGCCCTGACACGGAGAGGAGAACCACAACGATGTCTTCAAGAAGTGAGTGGCGCCCGCGAGCATCGCCATCGTTGCCGCCAAAGCGTAGAGCTTTCGCTCGGTAGCTCACCCGTGTCACCACGAGGTCTCCAGGACAACTGCGACGAACCCAAACTCCCAGATCTGGATCTGGGCATCGCCACTGCCAACGACAAAAGGACGAGCCCGAGCCACCCGACACAATCCCCTTGCCGCCCGCACGACCAAAGGGACGCCATCACCGCCGCCGTGGTGCCTGCCGGAGAGCCAACCATGCAGCCAACCTTCCGAGGCAGCTGCCCCGGCATCCAAGGCCCGAAACACCGGCATCCACCTACTTCAAAACACACCCACCACGACAGGAAGAGTGGACGCCTCCATCCACTCCTAACCCAGCATCAGCCATCGATTCTGGGTTAGCGCCTCCATCGTAGGAAGCGCCCACACCTGCATCCCCAGCCAGCCCCGGTGGAATAGGGGGGACACGAATCGATGACTGCCGACGGCCGCCGACGAGCAAGCCTCGACGCTAGCCCTCTGTCCTTGGCCCAGGTGATCACACACAACGCCATGTTCATGGTCTTCGGTGCTGATCCGACGGCCGGAACCGCGATGTCACGACCACCAACTCCCACCACGCCCGCGAGAGCTAGACGTCGCTCGTGCACGCAACCCGGGCACACCTACCCGAAGCACCTGCTCCGATCCACCGGGCATAGATCTGGCCTGCCCGAGCACGAACCCTAGATCCAAGCCTTCCCCGTTGCACGTGCTGCCGGCACCACTGGTACTCGCCCAATCCCGTTCACCGTCGGCTTGAACCCAAGAGAAGGAGAGTCGTCGCCACCACCCTGTGCCGGCTGATGAAACCACCGCAACCAAATCTGCATTGCCGTCACCGCCATACGCTCGCACCACCATTCATGCCTGAAAATGGCACAACAGCCGAAGAAGCCCACTGCCAGCCACCCAGGCCCTCCTACCACCTCGTGGCCGTGCCAAGATGGCTGCCATGCCGGTGCGCGCACCGCCCACAGCCCGCACTGCCTGCGAGGCATCTCCCCAGCCCGATCCAGATCAGAGACAAGGCGAGCTACTCCCATAAGCATGCTCCACCACCACAATGCCACCCGGCACACGAACCAGGCCCTGCCGCCGCCGAGACCGCGCCGGAGAGCCGCTGCGCCCGAAGCCAGCACCCCATCTCGCCGTGGCCGCCCCGTCCCGCACTGGGGCCACCGCGCGAGGAGCGGAGAGAGCCTTGCCGCCGCTGGCGTCGGCATGGCTTTGCCCGCCCGTGCCCTGTGGCGGCGGCGAGGGAGGAGCAGGTGGAGGGGGTCTCTGGCGGCGGTGGTGCGGTCGCCCCGCCCTCCCTATCACACGCGGGGCGACGCGGGAGGGGAAGGGGGTTGCTTTTTCCACACACACACCCTCGCAAAAAATGAGTAAGTGAAGGAATTTTTTTTTGTGACTTCATACCAACAAGTGATGAAACTGTGCACAGAGAGACGACCTAATACACAATGAAGGGAAAAAAACTCAGAGAAAATAGGCGACCACCAGATAAAAAACACTATGAACCAAACGGCGCAGCAAATTGCGTGTATACATCACAGGCAAAAGAATTGTGTATATGATACAAGTTCTGTCTACATGTATGCTTGGCTTCGTGCCGTTGTCAGCTGACTTCCGTGGAGCCATGTCTGTTAGGTGGCCTACGTGGGCTCTTGACGGCACCGACGGATTTTTGTCTGCGAATTGTGTCCAATCATTGTTGAAGACTTGGGGCAGCGGGATAGCCTCTCGTGTGTTCTTGGTGGCGTCAGTTACCTTGTTGTTGTTGGCGGTTGTGCTCTGGTCTGCTTCCCGTATATGTGGTATGCCCGGTTGCGTTTGTCCATATCGGGGTTGTGAGCGTATACGGCTGTTGAGGAGTGACAATCTGGCTTGCAACAGTAACTTCTTCATAGAAAGTGGGGGCGGCAGTACAGGGTGACATAAGTTTGGTGGTGCTCTTGAGCACAAGAATTTTAGCTCCGAAGTGAAAACTCTAGGTCTGGCTCCGACTGGCTCTACCTAGCAATGGTGGTGTTCTTACACCATTCCCCTATTGAAGGCATTGTTTGGAGTTTGCTCAGACTTCCTCTTTGTGGTGAAAACCCCATATTGACCCTTCGTGGGTGGATCTGAAGATGGCCGTGCTTGCGTGCAGTGGCGGAGCTTCAAGCTCCTTGTTGGGCAGGCTGGCCTGGCCAAACAGAGGGAAACATCTTATGGGCTGATGTTCCAAGGCCCATAAGTAATAAAATTAGTGTAGAAACTCCAGAAAGCTGGGCGGGCCATGGCCCATTCGGCCTTGCCATGGCTCCGCCAGTGCTTGCGTGTCGTTCCCTTTTTAAAGGTGTCGTTGTTGAAGCACTTTCCCCATGTCCAGGTGCTCTCATCGGTGGTGGTTGATGCTGATGGTTATTGCTACATGTTATAGTTCACTTCTGGGAGGTCACTTTTGTGTGTGTGTGTGTGCGTTGGTGTTAGTTGTGTGCATCCTAGTTATGCAGAGGCCGGGTGTGAGCTCATGATGCTTTGTATTCTCTTGATGTGGCATTATGAGTTAACAAAATACACCCTTTATCGGAAAAATGGACTGATAATTAAGTAGTAAGGAAACAAAAGAGAACTAAGAAGTGCTTAACTCTTAGTTGCCCTAACATTTTAAACGATCAACCGTTCCTTGTCTAAAGGATGCAGAGTTGTTGCTATTGCCTCATGTCGTTCGTTTCAACTTCAGATATCAGTTTCCTGAACGTTATGTGATGCTAAATTTCAAAATGCCCATGCAGGCAAAGGTAGTAACCCTGAATGGAACGAAAGCTTTGTCTTCACCGTGTCAGACCAAGCTACGGAGCTGGTGATTAAGCTTATGGACAGCGACTCGGGCACATCGGACGACTTCGTTGGTGAAGCAACGTATGCATATCTTCCCATCCATATCTGAAGTTCTACAAATACTATTGGTACATTATAAGTTATTATCCGGAATCTTTTCAGAGAACATCTGTCATGAACTTACTGCTCTTGTTCTTGCAGGATTCCTTTGGAAGCAGTTTATACGGAAGGGAGCATTCCACCAACAGTTTATAATGTTGTGAAAGGTGAACACTACTGCGGAGAAATCAAAGTTGGTCTCACATTCACTCCCGAGGTAGATCCTAAAATGCTACTTCCATATTTTTAATTTTAACTGAATTCTTGAATCTGGTCTGAACTCCCAAGACTGTCTGTTGTTAATGTTTGCAAGAGAATAAATTCGCCCCCTTCCTTTATCTGGTGTGTTCATAACCTCAAACCACTAAGATTCCTAGTATTTCTGATGGCTAGTCAGCGGGTGGTACCACCCACTGTCTGGTTGGGTACCAGGAGGTACCAGGACTTCTACAAGCATATGTTAGCTCTTTCGAAGAGCAGGTTCTTAGGTTCTGATATCCATGATCCAATTGATGCAGACAATGATATCTTCCTACCTTGTAGGTCATAGTTCATAACCTGTATAAGCACCTCTTTCAAACAGTAGTCAGTAGGTTCTTAGGTCCTGGACTTCATGAATTGATGCAGACACTTTTAAGATCCTACCTTGTTGGTCTAGTTCGTAACTGAACACAGCATAGCTGCATATGTACCAATGGCGTCACTTAGAAATGAAGTCATGTCATCATCATCAAGATGCAGCAGTTTATGCAGATTTTGACGATAGCTGGAAAACATATAGTTCATTTCAATTTCAGATGCAATCGTACACGCCAGTATTGGGATTTAGTAAAAATAATCAATGATTCCCCTTGAAACGTATTTGGTGAATTAAGCTACTGAGGGACTATTTGAACATTAGTTGTACCTCCCGAACAAACAATATTATTATGCCACCCCTTAACGATTATTTTTCCAGCTTTGTTTGTAGTAGCTCTTTGTAGCCATATTTGTCGTCAATCTTTCTGAATCAGTCTGTAGGCAGATATTTATGTTAAACACCCATGGTCCTTATCTTAGTCTTCCATCGAATTCTATCAGATGACTATGAAATAGAAAACAATACTGTACAAAATGCTAATAAAGTCAAAGACCATGCGAATAAAACTTATTTGGGTGAACCACTACAACATACAAACAGAACGACAATTAAGTACTCCGTCCGTTCCAAAATAAGTGTCGAACTAAAACCCACGACACTTATTTTGGAACGGAGCGAGTACAATTTAGTATCAGCTCGTGTTTTGCTCCGAGAAACTTGAGCGGGCTGAGATTTACCTGAGAATTGGCAAAACGGCAAAACAAATGCATGGTTGGCCTTGAGCAACACTTTTATTCTGTATGCAGGATGGTCGCCAGCGCGGTCTCCCCGAAGACTTTGGTGGCTGGAAACAATCGCATTGAGCAGACTCGGAAGAACAAGGATGCTCGTCAAGCCTTGAGGCCTTGAATCACCATCTCATGCAAATACAATACGAAACTCTGTCACTTTGGATTTTTATCTGTTCCTTTTGAAGCTGAAAGTCAGTTTGGCTTCATCAATCATGTTAGAAGTACTGGTACTACTCGTGAATTTAAAGTTTAAACTGTAGATATCTGCAATTCCTGCATTTAGTGTCTTCTTAGTACTGGAAATAATAGTGTACTGTTTATTTATTTATTTTTGAAAAGGGGGGATTCCCCGGCCTCTGCATCAGATCGATGCATACGGCCTCTCTTATTAAACAAATAAACATGTTCTGAACAAAGGTCTTACAGAAAAAGGAACCAAAGCAGCCTATAGCTCACATAGAGCATCGACTGCAAGGCAGAAATGAGATAAGCCACAACTCGGCTGGCAAAATAGCAGATAGGTAAACTAAACTCCTATCCTATTACATGATCGCCATCCAAACCGGTTGAAGATATCCCGCGCTACCGTCTCCCACCGGACAGATCCAGTAACCAAACGCTCCCTGGCCTCCGTCGGAGTGAGTAAGGACCAAGTACGGATCAGCGCCGTAGCCCGGAATAACACCTGCAAAAAATGAATATTTGTTGTCCTGTTAAAAACCAAATCATTCCTGCAATTCCAAATTGCCCATAATAACGCACATACTCCTACACGAATGTGTCTGGCTGTTTCGGACTCAATCCCAAACAGCCACGCCCCAAATAACGTGTTTATCGATCTCGGTGAAGTAATATTAAAGGCAATTTGCACAATGCGCCACAACCCTTGTGCCAACGGGCAATCAAAAAATAAATGCTTGATAGTCTCATCCCGATCACAGAAACTACACCTAGTAGATCCTGTCCAGTTGCGCTTAACTAGATTGTCCTTTGTAAGAATAACTTGTTTATGCACAAACCACATAAACACTTTAATCTTCAAAGGAACCTTAACTTTCCAGACCTCCTTAGTCGTAGGTATCACAGATGAATTAATAATATCCATATACATCGATTTTACCGTGAACACCCCAGTTTTAGTTAGTTTCCAACACAACTGGTCGGGCTGAGGATTTAGCTGAACGTCCATCAGCCTACGGACCAAGTGAAGCCATGCTTCCCATCGGGGTCCAACAAGCACTCTCCTAAACTGCATGTTTAGAGGAATAGACTGCATCACCGTCGCAACAAGAGCGTCCCTACGCTGAACAATACGATATAGTGTTGGATATTGTGTAGCCAAAGGCGCGTCACCCAGCCACGTATCCTCCCAGAATCGCGTATCATCTCCATTACCAACAATACATCTCGTTCTGTTGAAGAAAGCGGCCTTAACCCTCATGAGCCCTTTCCAGAACGGCGAATCTGTAGGTCTGAGAGTGACTTGGGATAAAGTCTTTGAGTGCAGATATTTACTATGTAAAATCTGCGCCCAAGTTGCCTCTGTCTCAGACGACAACTTAAACAGCCACTTACTAAGGAGGCATCTGTTTTTGACTTCAAGGTTTTCAATACCAAGTCCTCCTTGGTCCTTTGGTCTGCAGATAATATCCCATTTGGCCAATCTGTACTTCCTCTTAGACTCATCACTCTGCCAAAAGAAGCGAGAACGATAAAAGTCTAGCCTTTTCCTCACCCCCACTGGTACCTCGAAGAAAGATAACAGAAACATAGGTAAACTCGTGAGCACCGAGTTAATCAGAATCAACCGGCCTCCATAAGACATGAGTTTTCCTTTCCAACAGCTTAGTTTCTTCTCAAATCTATCCTCGATGCACTTCCACTCACCATTCGTTAACTTACGATGGTGTATTGGAATACCAAGATATGTGAAAGGTAGAGACCCAATTTCACACCCAAACAATTGTGTATAAGCTTCCTGTTCGTCTTTGGCTCTACCAAAACAGAACAACTCGCTTTTATGGAAATTAATCTTCAGCCCAGACAATTGTTCGAAAAGGCATAACACTAGCTTCATGTTCCTTGCTTTGGCCAAATCATGTTCCATAAAAATGATTGTATCATCAGCGTATTGCAGGATGGACAGACCACCATCCACCAGATGAGGCACCACTCCCTCCACCTGACCGGCCTCTTTGGCCCTCCCAATCAGGATCGCTAACATATCAACCACAATATTGAACAAAATAGGCGACATAGGATCGCCCTGTCTCAGACCCTTGTGCGTTCGGAAGTAGTGGCCTATGTCATCATTAACTTTAATGCCAACACTGCCTTTTTACGTGAAAGTTTCCACTTGATGTCTCCAGCGCTCATCAAAACCCTTCATTCGTAGAGCTTGCTGGAGGAACGGCCATTTGACTTTATCATAGGCCTTCTCGAAATCCACTTTGAAAATAACCCCATCTAGTTTTTTCGTATGAATTTCATGTAGCGTTTCATGAAGAACGACAACCCCTTCGAGGATGTTCCTATCCGGCATGAAAGTCGTTTGAGAAGGTTGAACTACAGCTTGCGCTATCTGAGTAAGCCTGATCGTGCCAACCTTGGTAAATATTTTGAAACTGACGTTGAGAAGGCAGATAGGCCGAAATTGCTCAATTCTCACGGCATCTGTTTTCTTAGGCAACAACGTTATCGTTCCAAAATTAAGTTGGAACAGCTGCAAATGTCCCGAGAACAAATCATGGAACATCGGTATCAGGTCCCCTTTGATAATATGCCAACACTTCTTGTAAAACTCAGCCGGGAAACCATCCGGCCCCGGTGCCGTATTACTTGTCATCTTGGCAATAGCCTCGAAAACTTCCTTTTCCGAGAAAGGGGCAGTTAACACATTATTCTCCACAGAAGTAAGTTGAGGAATATCGCTAACCCTAGACTCATCCAGGGATACACAGCTCTCCTCTGGTGGTCCAAACAACCGTTTATAGTATTCAGTAATGTAGATTTTCAGGTTGTCCTGGCCGACTATTGTACCCTCATCTTGCTCTAGCTGAAAGATCCTCTTCTTCCGGTGCTTGCCATTGGCAATCATGTGGAAGAACTGAGTATTCGCATCCCCCTGGACAACTTTTCTCACCTTTGCCCGCAATGCCCACTTTAATTCTTCCTCACGGAGCAAATCCTTCAGCCTCATCTCAGCCTCATGCTTAATATGAAGCTCAGTGGGTAACAGAACCATAGTTTCTGCTTTTATGTCTAAGGTTTGTATAAGTGAAAGGAGTCTTTCCTTCTCGACCTTATACACTCCACCTAGATGTTTAGCCCACCCACGAAGGAAGCTTCTGAGATGCCTAATCTTGTTCTGCCATCGTTCGATGGCACCTGTACCTCCTACATCTCTGGCCCACTCTCTGGCAACAAGATCCAAAAATCCTTCTCTTTCAAACCACGCCAGCTCGAAAGAGAAAACATTTTTGTTACCCGAGTAAGTAGCCCCACCAGAATCGAGCAACAAAGGAGTGTGATCAGAAATCCTGCGAGAAAGAGCCTGAACAGTTACAACTGGAAACTTCTGTTCCCAAGCAACACTAGCCAGAACCCGATCGAACTTCTCGTAAGTTGGATTTGGCATCGCATTAGCCCAGGTGAACTTCCTACCTGAAAGCTCAATTTCTCTCAAATCTAAGCTTTCAATAATGGTATTGAACATAAATGACCATCTCCCATCGAAATTGTCATTATTCTTTTCATCGCGCCTTCTAATAATGTTGAAATCACCCCCAACCAGAATTGGGAGCCGCTCAGACCCACAGACTCTAACAAGGTCTGCCAGGAAATCAGGTTTGAACTCGGCCTGCGCTGCCCCGTACACCGCCACCAAAGCCCAGTCAAAACCATCAATTTTGGACCGCACCCTGAACTTAACCGCAAAATCCCCCATGACCACACTGCGAACTTCGAGAGAGTCACATCTAACACCAAGTAAGATTCCCCCCGACCTGCCTCTCGGCGGAAGACAATGCCAGTCAAACTCCATCCCCCCCGACAACGTATTGAGAAATTGAGGTGAGAAATTTGCTCTACCCGTTTCCGACAAGGCAATAAAGTCCAAACTATGCTCAATAGATGCCTCCGCAAGGAACCTTCTTTTAGCCAAGTCCTTAAGACCTCTGCTATCCCAAAAGATTCCTTTCATATCTCATCATGAAATTTTTTAGCCATGCGAATCCTAGCGCTCCTACGGACTGCGGACATCGAGTAAGTTTTGCGCTTCCACTTGCGCTTAGGGCTGGTCGGGCCCTCCCGGTCCAAAGTGCCCATAACCGCTGGGTTATCTACTTCCAACCCTATATTCTCGTCCTCCTCCTCCGGCTCCTGGAGGGGCGGTGCTAGGTCATGACAGAAATTATGAAGTACTCGAACTCCCAAGGCATCAATCTTAGAGTCATTCATTGGTTTGACCGCAGCTAAGTTACGAATTACTTCTAAAGCCCTCTCGGCTTCTAGATCAAGCAAATCGTTAACAGAATTAGTAACTTCACCCTCATTACTACCAAGTGAAATTCCTAATTGGTGTGCCTTATCCACAATTTGATCGTGTGAGAAATGCATAATAGTATTGGAAGTATTTACGGACATACCAGTTGTGACTTGGACTTCACGAAGCTTGGCCGCCCTGACGGCACAGCGCTGCTGCATGTCGTCCACCTCCGGATGGCTCTGAAGCCGACAACTCATGCATCGGCCCTCAGCTGCCTGGTCCGGTATCCCGCCAAACATAATGACCTCCTCCCGCGAGAATTTATCCGGAGAGCGACCGCCTGTCACTCCCCGAACATCCACCTGGTCGCCATTACCAGATGAGAGCGCCGAGTCCAGCACTGGGGAAGCGAAGGCCACCTGCCCCCTACCCCCATCCACTCCGGACCGCCTGTCCGGAGTGCACGCCACAGTCCCGAACGGGGCGCCCCCCTCGGGCACCGAAGCAGACGGGAGCATTGAGGCCACCTGCCCCACACCCTCCCACCGAACCTGAGCTGCCGCCTGCAGTGGCCGCCCATCCACAGGCGTAAGAGGAGCGGAGGCCACCTGCCCCGGCCCCCCAACCGTCGT